TTTTTTCTTTGAGACAGAGTTTCATCTTGTCGCCCGGGCTGGAGTGCAGTGGTGTGGTCTTGGGTTACTGCAACCTCCGCCTCCTGAGTTCAAGTGATTCTCCTGCCTCAGCTCCCCAGTAGCTGGGATTACTGGTGCCTACCACCATGCCCAGATAACTTTTGTATTTTTAGTAGAGGTGGGGTTTTCACCATGTTGTCCAGGCTGTTTTCAAACTCCTCACCTCAGGTGATCCACCCACCTTGGCCTCCTAAAATGTTGGGATTACAGACATGAGCACCGCATCCGGCCTGCCACAGGGCTTTTCTTGGCTGCTGTGTCTGATGGGTCCCTTATAAGGGAGAAGCTACAATGGTGTCTCAAGCTTATCTGATGATGGAACATTTATTTAAGCAGGACATCTCTTGGGACTGGTAGGAAATGCTACTTCATCCCAATAATTATTTTACATTTGAATAAAAGTGTTTGCATGAGTTCTAATTGCATGTGCATTTAAGGAAGTTGGCAATCTTGAAAGCTATGACACATAGCAAACTTCAATTATAAAATATTTGAGGGATCCAGGCAGGCTCCTGCAAGTCTGTTTGGCAACGTTGTGTTCACAGAAGCTAATATCAGCGAGCTTAAGCTAGGGAGCTTAAGAAGATGAGTTTAATAACTAAATTTAATATGGGTTGGGTTTCATAGACCAGCCTGGACTTGTATCTTTATTACCTCAACCTGTACCTCTGGCTCCCATGGAGAACAAAGGATGAGGAAAGCAAGGGACAAGGACACATTTCTGCCTGCATCAAGGGAGATGAGGCACCAATGACAAGGGTATTTCAAATGATGCGCTGAACACACTTAAGTGTTTGAAAAATATTACATAGAGTCCCCAGGTCCTCAGTAGCAGGCCCCAAGGTAGATGCTCAACCTCAAAGGCAGCAGAGTCTCTCCCAGGGGCTCCCATGAAGGAAAAGAAAGAGGTAAACATAGGTACTGTTGCATACATGGCATGAATAATTACTCAGATGTTCCTAAAAGTTCTCCAGGAGCTGTTTCCAATGCATTTCATGAATGCTGCACATTTTTATTCTTACTTATAGGTAAGAAGCCTTTTCCATTCCCCCTGGAAGAAATACATTTTTTCCCCTGGGAGAATCCCCATTTCAACTTACTGTGAAAATCCCACTAGAATTCAGATGATCAGACTCTACCAAGATACACTTGCTTAAAATTAAGTATTTATTTGAATTGACAAAAATTGTACAGGATTATGTACAAACGATAATTTGAAATATGTATGCATTGTGGAATAGCTAAATTGAGCTAATTAACATATGCATACTTAGCATTTTTCAGTTGTGAGAACACTTAAAACCTCTAAGTGAGATCATGCCCTATTTGTCTTTAAGATAAACTGACTTTTAAAGGCCGGGATGGCCTTCCTTATACCTTATATAAAAATTAACTCAAGATGGATTAAAGACTTAAATTTAAAACCCAAACCATAAAAAACCCTAGAAGAAAACCTAGGCAATACCATTCAGGACATAGACATGGGCAAAGACTTCATGACAGAAACACCAAAAGCAATTGTAACAAAAGCCAAAATTGACAAACGGGATCTAATTAAACTAAAGAGCTTCTGCACAGCAAAAGAAGCTATCATCAGAGTGAATGGGCAACCTACAGAATGGGAGAAAATTTTTGCAATCTATCCAACTGACAAAGGTCTAATATCCAGAATCTACAAGGAACTTAAAGAAATTTACGAGAAAAAATATCCTATCAAAAAGTGATATGAACATACAAAGGATATGAAAAGGGCAATGGATATGAACAGACACTTCTCAAAAGAAGACATTTACATAGCCAACAAACATGAAAAAAAAGCTCAACATCACTGATCATCAGAAAAACGCAAATCAAAACCACAATGAGATACCATCTCATGTCAGTCAGAATGGTGATTATTAAAAAGTCAGGAAATAATAGATACTGGCGAGGCTGCGGAGAAATAGGAATGCTTTTACACTGTCGGTGGGAATATAAATGAGTTCAACCATTGTGGAAGACAGTATGGTGATTCCTCAAGGATCTAGAACCAGAAATACCATTTGGCCCAACAGTCTCATTACTGGGTATATATACCCAAAGGAATATAAATCATTCCACTGTAAAGACACATGCACACCTATGTTTATTGCAGCACTATTTACAATAGCAAAGACATGGAATCAACTCAAAGGCCCATCAATAATAGAATGGATAAAGAAAATGTGGTACATATACACCATGGAATACTATGCAGCGGAATGAGATCACGTCCTTTGCAGGGACATGCATAAAGCTAGAAGCGATCATCCTCAGCAAACTAACACCGGAACAAAAAACCAAATACTGCATGTTCTCACTCATAAGTAGAAGTTAAACATTGAGAACACATGGACACAGAGAGGGGAACATCACATACAAGAGCCTGCTGGGGGTTTGGGGGGTGAGGGGAGGGAACGTAGAGGACGGGTCAATAGGTGCAGCAAACTACCATGGCACATACATACCTATGTGACACACCTGCACATTCAGCACATATATCCTGCTTTTTGTTTTTTTTTTAGAAATAAAATAAATAAATAAGTTTTAAAAAGTTGGGTAGGCTGGGTGCAGTGGCTCATGCCTGTCATCCTAGCATTTTGGGAGGCCAAAATGGGCCGATCACTTGAGGCCGGGAGTTTGATACCAGCCTGGCCAACATGGCGAAACCCTGTCTCTACTAAAAATACAAAAATTAGCCTGGCAAATGCCTGTAATCCCAGCTATTTGGGAGGCTGAGGCATGAGAATTGCTTGAACCTGGGAGGTGGAGGTTGCAGTGAGCTGAGATTGCGCCACTGCACTCCAGCCTGGGCAACACAGACAACCTCTGTCTCAAAAAAAACAAAAAAGAGCAGGTGTACCCAAGCTTTCTGATGGCCAGAGTCACTTGTACAGCAAAGATATTTTGGAAGGAAAGAGGTGTGCATTATATCACAGGTACAACATACTGTTATCATAGCCTCTCATGAATCCACTCTTTCTCCCAGCTTGTTCTTTGTTCCTTTTCGAAAAGCTATATGGCTACTGTCAGCATAGGCACCTGTACCAAGGAGTGGGTACAGGCAGGCAGATGTGGGGAAGAGGAAGAGAGCCACTTGAGCTAGGTTAGATGGGTCCACTAAAGAGAAGAGCAGTGGAGGGTAAGGATGGACTAGACCACATTTTGGCATGGCCATCAAGAGACGGGACTGAGAGATATGCCAACATATAGACATAATAGAATATTGGACTCACTAGCCTGCCAGTTGCTGAGAGGAAGGGGCATGTGGTAGACTGTGCTGTTCAAGGCAGAAATCACCAG